TCTCTCTCTCTCTCTCTCTCTCTCTCTCTCTCTCTCTCTGTCTTTAAAGGACCCTATGCCATAAGGGCAATGCTATTATTGTATTTCAGTTTTATGGATTGTGAGCCGTCCCGAGATGCCGAGGCATAAGGGACGGCATACAAAAGTTTTAAATAAATACATACTCATAAAAGGGGATGCACAGACAGGCATCTGATTTCAGGAAAAATCTTCGGAAGAAAGAAGCAAGTCTGATTTCTGGGGAGCAGCTGGTGAAGCGCATGTGGGCAAAATGCAGTGGGGCCAGATGTGCCAGGGGTCCCCAAGCTCCGGGCTTTCGTGTGAGCAAGCGCCCCTGGACAGAGGGCTGTAAGCTGCCTTCGCCTTAGTGGCAGTCCTGAGAAAGGCTGCGACTACTGCCGCACGGTGATTATCTTCATTTTCTTTGGGTGGCTGCACACTGACCCCTAGGAGGCCGGATGCCCTGCCCTCCTGCCCTCACCCCAGCACAGACATTCCTGGCATATCCTGCCTCTGGGCACGGCGAGTGCCCTCTTTGGGTCTGAACTCCAGGGGAAGTTGTGAACCCAAAGGATACGACACAGAAAGCGAATCCAGCGAAACAGGAGGTGTCCAACTTCAGCTGCATATGTGTTTCTTGGGGAAAAGATTCTCAGCGTGATTTAGAAACAGCGCGAGTCAGAAGGGGCCTCCTGGGCCATCTAGTCTGACCCCCGGCTCTAGCCGGCTCCACTCATGACATGCCCGCCATGTGCATTTAAAGACCTGCTGTTGCATACATGTGAAATTAAACCTCTGGGGCCGAATGCACTTACCTATAATACATAGGTCTGGCTACCTATTGTGAGGTTGGGTGTGCTGGGCTTGTCCCACCTACAGCTTTCTGAGGCTCTCCCTGTGGTCCGAGGAGCCTCAGATGCAGACTGAAGCACCAGGCTAATGCTCCCGGCCCAAGTCACTGGAGGGGAGCTGAAGCAGACCTTGGTTCGCCCAATATTGAACTCTGACTTGAGTTTTGCTGTTAAAGAATCTCTGACTCATGGAAGACCCTATGAATGAAAACCTTCCAGAATGGCCTGCCCTGGACAGCCCTTGTCGATTCAAGGCTGCGGCTTCTTTGATAGAATCCACCGGTCATCTGCTCCCCTTTCCGCCTCCAGCTTTCCCTAGCATTATTGTCTTCTGCTAACTTGGGTTCGGAGGAAAAGAACAGGGAAATTCTGTTTAATCTTTGACTTGTGATAGGCTAACAACAAAGAACAGGGAAGCTTAGACAATGGGATTTCTTTTAAGGCCAGGTAGAAAAATTGGAACAATTTTACAGATGCTGAAAGTGTGTGTGTGTGTGTGTCTGCACACCTACTGCATGTTCGTGACTGGGTGTCTGTGGGTGAGCTACTGCTTTCGCACAGATTTCCAGTTCTTGTGTTGAATGTGCAACAGAGTGTAGTTGTCTGGATCCTTTGTGCATGAAAGGTAATTTCATATCCTCTTGATAGATGTCACTATATGCATGAAATCTTCTTGATGCAGGTCATTATATGCATTAACTTTACATCCCGCTTCATGGAACCCAAGTGGCTACCCAGGTGAGCTCTCCTCCATGCGTAGCGGAGACCAGCCCAGCTTAGGTTTTGCAAGACGGATGCCTCCTCTCGCTTCAGGCCCTCCTGCCCTGGGATTCTTGTGTTAGAATTCTGCCCAGCACCAGCGCCAAGGGTGGGCAAAGTCGGGCACCTGTCGTGGTCCACCCTCCAGTTGGGGCCCACTGGCAGAAGCTCCCTAGAGATGCTGCTTCTCTTCACCTTTGCAAGATGCTTGTTGCTCTGGCCTGGGAACTGTGCTGGGGAGGAAAAGCAGGAAAGTCTGAATCATTTGCTGAAGCCCCATGGAGTCTAGTCCTTCTCCCTGCACTGCATGCCAGAAAGACTCCCATCCCCGCTGTATAAAATGTCTGAACCTAGCCTACCTCACAGGATTGTTGTTGAGAGGATGGAAGGGAAAGGAGGAGAAGCCTTGGAAGCCACCTTGGTTTCGAAATAGGAGGATATGAGGTGGGATATAAGTGCAATGTAATAGCAACCATAAATTTATTTTATTTGCAAAGTTTATATACCGCTCTATATTCCAGCATGAAGATTTCTGAGCCCTGTGTAATAAAAGGTGAAATTTACGAAAGGAGAAAAATATGTTAAAAGAAAAACCTGAAAAGTCATATACATTTTAACGTTATATTTAACTAGTCTGCTATATTTGCACTCTCTGTCATTATCTTTTTCTTTAAAAAGGCAATGAACAAATAAATCCTGGGGCAGACACAACGTCTTTGATTATTGTTCCCCCTGACTTAAAAGACAAGACCGAAGCTGCCAGCAGCAACTTAATGGGGTCCGTGGTAATTAGGGACTGACCTGGTCTCTCTCTCTCTCTCTCTCTCTCTCTCCCCTCTGCTGCATTTAACCTTGAAATTCCTGGAGGCACTTCTTGTCCGCTGGAGATAATCCAATTAAGCGTACCTACTGGGGTAACTTGGGACAGAATATCAAAAGGCAGAATGCCGCAGGCTCTGAGTCGAGGGACCCATTCCTGAAGAGGAATTCAAAGAAACCCAGCTGGAAGCTGCAGATTAGGATCTAAATTATTCTGTTCATAATTGAAAAGAAATATCTGGCAATCGTCTTGCCTTCCTTCACCAAGCGCTTTTCAATGGCTGCCTTGTCTCTCCACTGAGAAGAAGATACGGCCCGTCTCTTGTTCCCTGTGGGTCAGGATTTTGATTGGAAAAAAATTCCATGGGGAAAGGGAGAGGCATGGAGGCAGGGTTTGGAAACATGGCCCTGTGAGGAGAGACGGAGAGAACTAGGCTTGTTCAGCCTTGAGAAGAGAAGACCGAGGGGGGAGATGATATCCCTCTAGAAGTACCTCAAAGACTGTCAGAAAGAGGAAGGGCAAGTTCTCGCTGATACCGGAGTGCAGGACGCGGAATGATCCATTCAAGTTGCGATAACCCAGATTCAGGCTGGACATCAGGAAGAGCTTCCTCACTGTCAGAGCAATATGCCAGTGGGACCAGCTGCCTGGAGAGGTGGTGGCTCTCCTACACTGGAGACATTCAAGAGGAAACTGGGCAGCCCTCTGAGTGGGATGGTGTGACGTGGTGTCCTGCAACACCAGGGGGCTGGACTAGATGGCCTTCATGGCCCCTTCCAACTCTACTATTCTATGATGCTACGATCCATCCTCTCTATGTCGTGCTGATTACATTCACAGGCATCCTGTGCAGGGGAGGGCAACCTTCAGCCTTTGGGCCACAGGCAGCCTGCAGCCCGATTTCGAAAGCCTTCTGCATGCCTTCCGTTCAGCCCCTTGGCAGGAGTGAGCGGCAACCCAAGGAGAAAGGAAGGTGTTCAGAAGGAAGTGGGGGGGGGGGAGCAAAGGGAGGCAGAGAGGAAAGGGGTGACTTGCCCACCTTTGGGTCTAATCTGCTTCCTTGGCCCCCACTCATCACCAAGAGAGGACCCACTAAAGATTGGCTACAGCCAGAGAAAGGACACTCCTGCCTCTTCTCTAGCTGCATGGGGAAAAGAATGAGGGAAGCCGGAGATAATGAGCTCCTTGCATCATGGCCAGGAGGAGAAAACGTGGTTTGAGAACCGTGAGGCAGGGCCACGGAGGGCCAGTTCCGCAACTGCTTCTGTCACTTATCCCTTCGAGCCGTATCCGTATCCTGTCTTCCGGGCGTCTTGCTGCCGTCTCTCTGTTGTGTGTGGTCAGTTCCTGAACTCCCAATGATGGCGGCGCTCGAGAAGAAACCCCTCAAAACTTGGAAGGGAGAAATTGCCAAACCTTTAACGGCTCCACCCACATCGTTCCCCAGAAGACTCTTTTCCCTGCACATGGGCTATAACAAACAGCTTTCCCTCTGGAATTCTTCTGGACTGATCCTCATCCAAAACTGGAATCACAACTTACTCTGGGTAGTTCCCAGAACATTTGGTTGCTACAACTGTGCTTGGTATACACTGTCTCCTGCCCCGGACTGGTTCAAACAGGGCCAGCTGATTTCAACAACATGGACATACAGGGGGCTGGTCAGGGCCTTTCCCAGTATCCTGTTTTCCCCAAACCCTGGGAGAAGAGTTAGTCAGCAGGGCCATTCCGCAACTCCTGCTGAAATCTAACTTAATTTGCTTTCCCTTCTGTCCCCATTTTAGCCTTCTATATCGCATCTTTTAAAAAAGATTTTCATGCAAGATTTTCTGATGGGAACTATCTGCTTTGATGAAACAGTTATAAGCTGCTTTGGGTGGGTGGGAGACTAAGCAGTGGGATAAAAATACTATCTATTCATAAAATAAATGGACCAAATGCTCTGTGCCCTGAAGATGTTTATCTAGTGAGGAGGGGGTTACCTAATCCACTGCTTTGAGGATTATTTATCTTGCTGCTTGCTGCTTCTCCCAAATGCTTTTCGCATCCTCCTTGGGGTAGTGACGCCCCGGCCTGACAACCACCGCTCATTCTTTTTGATAACACTACTTGTGGTTGTGGGGATGAAAGTGGCTTCCTGACCCTTGTAATCCTCTGGGCTGCCTGGAGTGATAGCAAGAGAATTTAGCAACTCCTCCAAGGGGGCGGGGGTGTTGGGTAGGTGCCGCTGACACATCTCCAACTTTCCGTCCTAGCTCTGAGCGAGCCGATCCTGTCCTACTCTTGTCCTATCTTCTGGACCGAATATGAGGGATCTTGTTACAGATACTTCCCCATCAACAAGACGTGGGCAGAGGCTGACTTGTATTGCGCAGAATTTTCCATTGGGCTAAAATCGGCCAAATTGGTGTCCATTCACAGGTAAGAAGCAAGCAACAGGAGTTGTTTTAGTGTTCTGCTCGTCCATTTTTGTGTTCTTATTTATTTATTTATTTGGAGTTCTTGTATGCCGTCCCATTCGCATAAGCCTCGGGATGGCTTCCAACACAATAGATAAACAAAGCTATAAACAATACATATAAAATCTAGATTCACCCTGGCCGTAGAAATTAAAACCAAGTAAATAATATTAACAATTATTAAAATATTGTTTAAATAAAAAGGTCTTGGCCTGGTGCTGAAAAACAAATAACGACAGCGCCAGGCAGACCTCTCTGGGGAGCGCACTCCATAAGTTCTTCCTTCGGCTGCCCCTAGCATGGCTGTCTTCTCCGCCAAGACCCACCTTTCCTTGATGTGTGGAAAGTGAGACAGCCTCAATTTTGTCATTTCTGCTCCCCAGGAAAGCTCCGGCTTGATTTAAATGAGGAATCAATACCCATTTTTGTCTTCCTGCCAGTTCAGGGGACTTGCAAAGCTCTCCTCCAGCCCCATGTTCTCAATGCATCCATTTTCTTCCAACCCGCTTCCTTCCCTGTCCAGCTCTTGCGTGATCTTGGCCTTGCTCTCCAGGAACATATTCTTCCACTTGAGGATCTTTGTCACATGCTATGGCTTATTTTCTGGTTAGGTCTTATTTTTGGGGAAACAGCATACCTTTTTATTTGCCCATCATTTTAATTGTTAGGAATTTTAATCAGGTTTTAACTTCACAGTGGCTTTTTGGTTTTGATTTTTTTAAATTTTTGATCTTGATTTTGTTTTGATTTTCTTTCATCTGTGAATTGTTATTGGTTTTGTGTGTATATTTAATTATTGCTACTTTTAAACTATCTGTTTTTGATTTTTGTAAGCCGCCCTGAGATGCTTTTGCGTGTAGGTGGGGTATAAATATTTTAAATAAAAATAAAATAAATAACATTACCTTTGAATATATTTTGGCAGCTGGGAAGAAAATGTATTTGCATATGATCTGGTCAACAGCAGAGTGCCCGGCATCCCCACGGATATCTGGATAGGACTGAGTGATCTGCGGCAGGTCAGGAGCTTATTTTTATTATTCTCGGCATCACTCAGAGAGGAAAGACTGGCAAGGGGGAGGCTGCATACGTCCCCCCCGCACACCTTCTCCCCCGCCCTGCCCACCTCTTAAGCCTCTTGTCCCTGCACCCTGATCACATGGGGATGGAGAAGTTAAAGAGTCTCCCACCCTGTGGCCGATTCCCACTGGGATCACGGTTTCCTTAGCAATATGGCGGCATCCGGGCTGCTCAGGGAGTGGCAGGGGCTTCAGCTGTTTATCCTCGGCAGTCCTGATGAAGGTCCCCTCAGCACGGGAGGTCAAAGCTCTTCCGCACCCCCGTGGCCCCCTCTGAAACCACTGCGTCCCACCTACCCTTTGGACAGCGGACCCTTCCTCTCTGCCCCCCTGACACAACCCCCTGGGGGCCTCTCTGGCAGGAGAGCAGCTTTGAATGGACCGATGGCTCCCCGTATGACTATACCTACTGGGATGGCAATCAGCCGGATGACGGGATTCACTCCAGACCAGAAGATGAAGATTGCGTGCAGATCTGGTACAGATACAGCAGTGGTAAGCACAACGTTGTCTTATTCATTTATTTATTAGATTTATATCGCACCTTTTTCTTACACTGAACTCAAAACAACTCACATCCTTCTCCTCCTGCTGCTCTCAGTCTTATCCCCACAACAACCACCCTGTGAGGTAGGTCTGGCTGAGAGCCTGCGACTGGCCCAAAGTCACCAGGCTGGCACTGCAGCTGAGCAGGGACTCGAACCCGGATCGCCCGAGCCCCAGTCCTGTGCTCTTAACCACTACGCCACACTGGCTCTCATGCCTCCCAGAGGCCACCGTTCGCCATAGAGGTGAAGGGAGAGATCTTGCGAGGCACCATTTGCTATTACAGAGGCAGCTGGTGGTGGCAAAATTCTCCTTCTGATAATAACAAACAATTCCTGCCTTCAGGTTTACAACCCAAAGATGTGACATGAAATGAAAAATGGATGGGGAGGGAAGAGGAAAACAAGTATAATCAGGCACTGCTTGCTAACTAAATAACTTGCATCCTAGACCAGCGTTCCCCAGACATCCTATTTTAATTGTGAGCTGGAATAAAGAGTTGCTTAGCTCTCCCCATGGACAGCTAGCATTTCAGCGAGACTGGAATTGTAGTAGGAGCACCAGCAATACCTAAGAACAACCATAATAATGTTATTTTTAAAAGTACACTTCTGTTTGTAAATATCCTGCTGTTATTTGCATTTTTTCCCAGTAGCTTTGCACTAGCAGTGCTTAAACACCGTCTCCTCCCTGTCTTCTTCTCTCCCCTGCTCTCTTTTCTTTCTATAGCTTTAAGGTCTTGGAATGACAACAGCTGCAACAGAGAGTTTCCATTTGTGTGTAAGATCCCATCCCTGGCAGCCGATTAGCTCTCTCCCTCCCCGGCAGAACTGCAGAGGCAACCAAACTTCTGTGTCGAGAGCACTGAGTGTCACGGACTCACACCTTGTCCGTTGGGCATCCTTCCTGCACCATTCGTCTAATAAATGCTGTTCTGTTTGGGACTCACTGAACACCCCCGATTCATTCTTCCTGGTGTCCTGTCTGTATTCTGTATTGCATCCCATAAACATGACGTGGCTCTGATGCAACAGGAGTTGGGGAGCACTTGGGACTGTAGATGCAAAGCTTGCTCAGGTCTTTGGCGGAAGTGTAGGGTGGAATCCAGCTCCCAATGAATTTCCCAACTTGATAGGAAATGCACTGCCCTTTCTTTCTCTTTTTCGATACTTCGCTAGGGTAGTTTGGCTGGAATGGGACAATTGCATAGGGTAATGTTGGTTGCTGGGCCAGGATAAAGCGTTTGGGGTCTGGTTTCAAATTCTGGATGCTGAGATTCTTTGCTTCCCATCCACTTCTCCAGCCCTTTTTTTCTTTGTCAAAGCAATTTTGCAGCCCTATATAGCTGCAGGGTGAGGAGCCTGTTGGAAAGGGCGAGATGAAACCTTCATCAGGGAACAAGAGGGGTTTCTTAAAGGGGCAGCAAGCCTTCCTACTGTCCCTGGCTGAGTTTGGTCAGACAATCTGGGTTTCCCATGCAGGGTGCATGCAGAACGGAATCCAGCAACAGAGCCGAGAGTGGGGAGACCACTCCTCTCTCGCTTGCTTTCTCCCCCTCTCTTTGCCTCTGTACCTTTCTGCCACTCCCTTTATTTCTCTCTCTCATGCACCCCCCTCTGTCTCTCATTTCCTCTCCGGCACCCCTCTGTCTCTTCTTCGCACCTTCTCTCACACTCGGTGCCCCTCCTCTGCCTCTGTCCCTTTCTGCTGCTCTTTTCTCTCCCCTTCTTTTCTTTGCCTGCCAGTTTTTCTTTCAACACCTGGTGTTCCCCCTGCACCAGAGCACTGCCAGGCCAGGAGCAGGGCTTCCTCTTGCCCGGGTCCTGCCTTGGTCACTCGCGGTGGCCTTTTGCAGGTAGGTCGAGGAAACGAGATTGGCCCACCCCAGGCTGTGCCTGGCTTGGCACACAGCTAGCAGAATCCCCTCCCCTCAAAAGTAAAGTGAGGAATTATTAAGGCTGCTGAGTGTAGTCCTTGCGTTGAATAAAAACTGGTTAAAGTGTTTTCCTGAATCCATTTTTTAAAGTTTCAGTGCAAGTCCTCTTCCCAAATGCAGCCTCATTTTATCAGAGGGATCCCCACGTCTCTTGGGTGGGGCGCCTGTGCATTCCCAAAAGCCGAGAGGTGGGTGGAAGAGGCTTGCCCTATGTGTCTTTTGTTCCAGAGCGCACTCAAGCCGGCAGGAGGTTAGGACCACGGACAGCTCCCCACAGACCAAGGTCCTCTGTTACAGTGGTTTTCAACCACTGGTCTGTGGACAAGCCACGGTCCGTGGGAGATTTCCTGCCAGTCCAGGGCGGGGGGCATCCTGCTCACCATGATCCACCACCACCTTCTCTGTTGGCATTTCATTCATGGGTGCCGCCGGGGGGCGGGCAGGGAGGGGAGAGACGGCTTTGTGGGGGCCGGCTGGGAGCCATGCTGCGCCGATTTTGGTATTTGGTTCTTTTGTTGGCATTTTTTGTTGCTCGGTTTCTGGTTGTTTTGGAGAACTTTCTGTCTTTGGTATTGTGTTTGGAAACTAACACATTAGGTGCATGGTGCTTTTTGTTTCTGCCTCAGTGGGCCCTGAGGTGGTTTCCTGTTTTTGCGGGTCCCCAGCTGTGGAAAGGTTGAAAACCACCACTGCATTGGGCTGCAACAAAATGTTGCACACTAGAGTACTTCCATCGAGGTTTCAGGCCTGCCAGCCATGCCCTCCGGCCCATGGTGCTCCATTCCGTTCACCCCCTGCATTTCTGCTGTTCTCCCCAAGCTGGAACGCCAGAGCCGCTGAGCGTGTGCCGCCTCGCTGGGCTGCTTTGGGGTCACGCATTTCCCCAAAGGATTCGTCGCGCTCCTGCAGCCTTGGTGTCCCCTGCTGATGTCGCTGCCTGGTGGGTGAGGCTGCTCTGGCCTCACAAGCATCAAAACTCACTGCTGGGGCCCTGGAAGGAGTGGGAAGGATGGCAGGAGGAGGCCTTGCGCCCCCTCCTGGAGAGATCCTGTGGGCAGCTGGCCTTGCTCTGGACCTGACAGCCGGTTCCCATAGTCCTGAAGAGAGGAAGACAGGTGGAAGCCCACTTCCCTGAAGAGAGCCCGCTGGGCAGGTCGTGGGCCTTGTCCCTTTGCACAGGCTGGCATTTTGGTCGGGTTGGGCGTCTGCTGCTGCCCCCGGGCATGGCTGGATGTTGGCAGAAGGGGGAGGCTGCAAGAGCAGGACGCCACACCAGTGGTTCTCAGCCTGTGCTCCACAGACCCCTGGGAGGCTGTGCTGTCATCCAAGGGGGACTGTGAAGACCTGAAGAAATGTTAGCTTAGCAGTTAAATCTGAATGAACGAATGAAAGCAAGACGGAATGGGAAATAGAACAAAATCTTGATTTTCCATGCTTGTTTGGTAAAACTCGGCTTTTTTAACCTCTTGCCTCAATTAAAAATAATCAGAGGTATAAATCAGCTAGGGGACTAGCTGTCCGATGGCAAATAGCTGTGTTTGGTATTTCTGCACACTCGGAGAACAAGGGAGGAGGCGAGAGGAACGGTAAGAACATTCCATCAATTTTAATGTACAAATTGACATCAGATTTGGAAGTAGCAGGTCAAAATGGGCCATTTGAGTGAAAAGAGTGTTGATAACTATTATTTGGAATTCCTATGGAATCATTGCAAGAAAGATGCTACAATAGGATTCAGTGCATGAACAGATAAACTTATTTCCCCTTGTCTCCAAATTTGAAGGCCCTGCATGAGAAAACTGAAATAAACATTTGAGGCAGGCAGTCTAGGGCTTTAAATCTTGAGTTAAGTCTTGGTGGTCCGTGGCCACAAAAGGAATTTAAAGGGGTCTGTGGTGAAGGAAAGGTGGAGTCCCACTGGGCTACAGCATTCAGTTCATGCCTCTGGGGCAGCCCCATGTACACTTAGAAAAGATACAGAGCTGTGCATAGTCTTTAAGCTTTTAAAAAATGAGATGAGATGAGGACCAGGTCGTAGCTTTCCTTCATGGGTTGGACTTGACTACTGTTATGCACTCTGAGTGGGGCTGCCCTTGAACTCCGCACACTCCTGAAAGGGGGTTGAGTCACTGGAACCAAACCATGTGGAAGTGAAGGATCGGCCCGCTGTTGCTTTCTGTGACCCTGCAGGGAACAGGTGCTACCTGAAGAACGCACTGAAATTGAGGTGAGCTTGGCCAGCTAGGAGGTCATTTGTATCCATGGAGACAACGCCGCCTTCTGTCTAATTAGGACGCCCGATCAAGGTTCTCTGTAGGGCAACATGATCGACACCACGTCTTTGAGCAGAAGGGTAGTGGCATTTGTTTGTTACAGGTACTGTTGAACTAATTAGATTTTCCTGGAAATGCATCCCGGTATTATGTGCTTGTTAATTCATCGCATATGCTGTGCCACTCTGTTTATTGCCTCAAGGTTTTGGAAATGTCACAGAACTTGTGAACTTGTGGTGATGTCTTTTGTTTTGCTCTTTAGAGAATTTTTTTTTTAATTCAAAAGAAGGAACCTATTATTTGTGTGCCTCGCTTCACCTTGCTTCTTGTACGCCTTGAAGAAAATCACGCTTGAATAAGACCAAGTGCGGCTCTGTTTTGGTTTGTTCGATCCAGTCTAGTTTTCACAGGTTATATTCTATGTGCGAGGTGAGCAAAAGGGGACAGATTCCCCACCCCTGTGCTAGACATTCCATTCTCAGATGCACAGCAGACTCATAGGAGTGTGTGAGAACTGGTGGCATAGTGCGAAACACTGGTGTGAAGCACCATTCCTTCTAACAGCATCTGTAGCCACTTCCCCAGTGAGAATGTAAACATGAAGGCAGGTGCTGCTGAGAGCATCCAACAAGCTGAGCTTTCCAAACCAACATTGCATTTTATTTTGAGAATTTTATTATTACTATGGGGAGAATTTCTTCAGCCTGGGTCCTCTATCTTCTCAAGCCAGAGGAAATGGGTGTTGATCTTAATTAGTTCCTCCCGTGAAGCACAGCCAAAGCAGAGAATGCCTCTAGTGATTGTGTGTATAGGACCACGGACTCAGTGTGATGAATACGCCAGGCTTCTCCACCCTGGTGGCTTCCAGATGTGCTGGACAACTCCCAGAATCCCCCAGCCGGGGAATCGTTGTAGTTGGCGTATGCCAGGCTGGGGAAAGCTGGAATATTTCCGTCATCAGCCACAGGAGAAAATGAATCAAACAACACTGGGTCTTGCAGAGAGATGCAGAAGTATTTTGCTGCAGGAGTGAAAAAAGTGTTTTTTTCCAAACTGAAAACATAACTCATGGTCTGTTATGTAATCTGTCAGACATGGATCCAAAACAAAATAAATTCTATTACACATTCTATCTCCCCCCTTGAATGAAATATTACTAGGCACTGAGATTTAACTTCAAGGGAAGGAGAGTTTATTGCCTGCGTGATGCTGTTGTTTGCCTTAGCAGCAAGCCTGGCACCATGCATATTTTGAAAAACTGATCCTTGCAGGACACAAAGTCCTCTAAACCAGATGTCCTCAAGCCTCCAGATTTCTAGGCTTCCATGAATCCCAAGTGTGGCGTGAAGCGGGACAACTGTGGCTCTCTGTGGCCCAACGTCATCTTCAGCCATCCAGATGATGCCCATCAAAGGGTAGAGGGCGGGAAGGAAGCTGGGGCACCATTTGGGTATAAGACAAGCCCGTCTCTCCAGTTCCCTCCTCTCTCTGCCCCTCCAAAATGCCCCTTTTCTTTTCTCAGGGGCTGATTTCTGACCTCACAGACGTAGCCGGCACCTGGCCGCAACGGGGCCCTGGTGGGGACTGGGACCCCGGCGGTAAGGCTTCTCGGAGGAAGACTTTCAGGAGGCCTTTTTGACTGAATGGGTTTGATTACCCCAAGTAGCAATTATGCCACCTCCTCTACTCATAGCAAAATAATGAAATCGTAACCTTGATTTTCATCATGACCAATGCAGTGGAA